AATTGTTATTGTTGGTTCTAATTTTCTTATTTGCTTTTGCTTTCTTTCTGACCCATGAACAATTTAGAATTATGCTTTAAATTTCCAAGGTTTTTTTTTTTTGGGGGGGGGGGCTATGTTTTTGTTATTAATTGTATTGTGGTCAGAGAATGTGTTCTACATGATAATGATTCTTTGGCCTCTGGTAAGACTTACTTTATTGGCTGATACATTGTCAATTTTTATAACTGTCCCTGGGAACAGAAAGTGTATTCTAGTTCTTAGATATAGGCATCTATATATGCTTATTAGACATGGTTTATTTATTGTGATGGTCAAATCATCCCTATTATTACTGATATTTTTATCTTGCCAATTTCTGGCAACGATTTATTAAAGTCTACCTCAATAATAGTGTATTTGTCAATTTCCTTTTCCTGTTTTATCATTTTTTTGGTTGACATTTTTTGAAGCTATCTTATTAGAAGTATGCAAGTTTACAGTTGCTTACATCTTTCTAATGAATTGGACCTTCCTTAGTAGGTAATAAACCTCTATCTCTAGTAATGCTGTTTGCTTTTTTTTTTTTAATTGCTGTTTGCTTTTGCTTGTAACTCTTCTGTGTACTTGTTTTACACGTATCTCATGTAAACAACATGTAACAAGATTTTGCTTTCTATCTAATCTGATAAAAAGTTTGACTCACTTACCCTTATTGTTATTTTAATTATTTGAATTTAATTTCTATTATTTTATTCATTCTATTGTTCTGCTTTTTTTAATTTTTTTTGTTCTGCTTTTTTAAATTCTTTTTTTACCTTCTTGACTTTTTTATTGTTTTGTGAGTTTTTTTTCTTAATCTGTTTATCTCTTTGGAGCTTATACCTTATTTTTTAATATTTTACTAGGTGTCCTATAATTTTAACGTATATATGTGTCTGTGTAATTTAATAAAATATATAACTAATAAAGTGTGTAGTTTAGTAAGTCTTGAAGTTAGTGTTTTACCTTCCTGAACAAAGTATAGACTTTCAAATGCCTTATTCCTAATTATCAACTCCCAAATTATATGCCATTTTTACCAGCATTCTAGTTGTATATCATTTTTAACCTTATAATTAAGATATTACAACTGTTGTTTACCACAGTGATTGTCTAGATTTACCCATGTGTTTATTATTTTCTTTGCTATCTACTTTGGATCTGAGACCTTCTTTCTAGGATGAGTTTTCTTCATCCTGGGAATATATCCTATAGAAATTCCTCTAGTGAGTAATAGTAAACTTTCATTTTTTATGTTTGTCAGAAAATGTTCTTATTTTTCCATCCTGAAAGATAGGTTTGCTGGATATAGAAATCTAGGCTGTCAATTATTTTCTCTCTTCATTTCGAAGATATTGTTACTGCCTTCTGGCATCCATCATTGCTGTTAATAAATATTACCATAAGTCTGTTTTTCCTTTGTGGGTAGTCGGTATTTTTTCCCTGACTGCTTTAAGATTTTCTTTTTGTCTGCATTTGACCACAACATGTCTTGATGTGAATACCCTTTTATTTCTCCTGACTTGAATTTTTGTGGCACATGATAACTTTCATGATAAAACAGGAGCCACTCCAAAACAGTCAAATTTTACTCTTGCCTATCCTTACCCCCTAACACTTCCACCTCCTTTGAATGCAACTGTGGGATCATGAGGTGACAAAAACAAGAATGGAGAAATGGAACCCATATCCTTGATAACCTCACTGAAAACAGATTGTCTACCTCTAGACTTCATGCTATAGGAAAAAAATAATTGCCTTTTTCGCTTAATGTATACTCTTGTCAGATATTCTGTGACTCCAAAATAATCTTAAAACATAATACTTTATTTTTTCCTGTGAAATGCAACAGAACATTGTAACACTGCTCAATAATTTTTTTAAGTGAGTACTAATCGTTTTGTATCATGTACATGTAGAAATCTGTTTTATTTTTATGCATATGCCTAAATTAATGACTAGTAAGAAAATATTAATCACTTATTAGAGACAATTAGTAGAATTTCTCCTTCCACTGAAAATTTATTTGGAAATCTGTATATATTGAGATTACTTTTTAAACTTAGTGTTATGACTCATGTTGTCATTTTTTTAAAAGATTTATTTATTTATTTGAGACACAGGGTTGGGGCAGCCCCGGTGGCTCAGCGGTTTAGTGCCACCTTCAGCCAGGGCCTGATCCTGGAGACCTGGGATCGAGTGCCACATCGGGCTCCCTGCATGGAGCCTGCTTCTCCCTCTGCCTGTGTCTCTGCCTCTCTCTCTCTCTTTCTCTGTCTGTCATGAATAAATAAAACCTTAAAAAGAGAGAGAGAGAGAGACAAGGTTAGTGAGAGAGAGCACACAAGCAGGGGCAGAGGGAGAGGGAGAAGTAGGCTTCCCTGGACCCCAATGTGGGGCTCGATCCTAGGACCCCAGGATCATGACCTGAGTAGGAGTCAGATATTTAACTGACTGAGCCATCCAGACACCCCTTATGTTGTCATTTAAACAGAAGTCTTAGGTCTTACAAGTAAAAGGAGTATCATTTTAAAGTTATTTCTGTTTTTGACTTCTGTGTCATGCCATTAATTCTTAAGAAGATTTGTTTTACGTGGAGAACACTGTGAAAATGTATTTGTCTCATTAGGACAAAAGTCAAGCAAGTGCAGGAAAATAATTGATTTTATTAGTTAAGAGCAATGAAGAATCTGGTTTATGGATATGTATAAAAACTGTTCTTTTGTTTGAATGCCCTGGTATAGCAACTATTAAAAGATTGGAAATCCTGTTAAAAGATCTAAGTGCCTGACTACAAATGCTTATTTGCATTTTGCCTCTATAAATCTGCACAATATATTTCAAGTTATCAGCAGCACTTGATTTTTTTAAAGGATTTTACTTATTTATTTGAGAGAGAGAGTGTGCAAGCACAAAAGAGCATGAGCAGAGGGAAGGAGAAGGGAAGAGGGACAGAGAGAGAAGCAGACTCCCCCTGAGCAGGGAACCTGATGCAGGACTTGATCCCAGGACCCTGGGATCATGACCTGAGCCGAAGGCAGATGCCTAACCTAATGAGCCACCCAGGCACCCTAGTACTTGATTTTTGAAAAATAACATCCCAACTAATCACTGCAAACAGAATTGACTAATTGAACAGTTTAGAATCCCAAAATTCTTCTGTGTGTACTAACTCATTGTTATTGATGGCACTTATCAATACTTCCCATTCCTTTGCTATAGAATAACTATTTTATTCATTCATTCACCAAATATTTATTTATTAAAGTGTCTACTATTAAAGTAACTATTGGCTATGGGGTCATAATGCCTGCCAGATATGATTCCTGTCCTCATAGACTTTCAGCCTCAGAGGGAAGCACCTATAAATCAAATAAATAAACAAAGAATTATGGCTCCAGCAAGTAGCACAAAAGAGAAATAAGTGGTCCTAATAAAAGAGATTTGAACTAGTCAGCAAGGTCAGAAAAGGCTTTTCAGGCCTGGTGAGTAGAAGTTAACTGAGTGGAGGAAGCAGAAAGTGAAAATAGACATAGGCAAGGTACTGTGATAAGAGGTAGCCTGGTGTATATGAGGGAACAGAAGAAGGACAGTGTGGCTGGCGCAGGAATTGAGGCTGATACAGGTCGGTACTGATGGGGAAATGCAGGGTCTCACACATAGGGGGGCCACAATAAGATGTGGTATAGAACAGTAAGGAGGCCAACACGAGGAATGAGAGCAGTTTGAAGATGGAGAGAGATGGATTTGAGAGCTATTTAGAAGTCAGTAATTACAAGTTTGGGTGATGGATTGGTTGTAGGGAATAAGGTTGCAGAAGATGTCAAGGATGATACAACTTTCCAACTTGCGCAATTAAATGGATATAATAGCATTTACTCAGTTATGGAACATTGAAAGGGTACCAGGTTTGGGGGGAAAGCCATGAGTTCTGCATTAGACATGTTGGGTTTGAGATATCCAGAAGGAAATCCCAAGTAGGCAACTGGATATGCAGGCTTTGGTACCTACAAGAGACATCTAAATGAAAGAGCTGCCTGTAAGTGATAGTCTAAGCCCAGGGCACAGGGTAAATCCTTCAAAGACATAGCACTTTAAGACTAGGAAAAGAAATAGGTGCTAAAAAGGAGAGTACCTCTTAGAGTTCACCACTAAAGAACTTCTAAAAGCAGAGGAAAGTGAATATGAATAAAAAGCAATCTGTGGTCAAGAGCCAAATCTGTTGGCTGCAGGCATGAAATTTGGGCACAATTTATGTTTCAGGAGTACCTAATATATCCCTATTTGATTTCATATAACAGAAAACCAAATTTTCAGGATTTACCCTCAGGTGAAATTGATAACTCTAGAGAAGTATTTCTCTTCTGGCTATGTACACTCCCTGATACAGTCCTAAACTCTTTTGTCTAGGAGCATGGATGCCCCATTTCAAGAATCATGAAAGTATAATTCCTTTTTAGAAAGCCAGGAAATTGTAATCCCAGAAAGGATGGGAGTCTGTCAAAAGTTATGCATCAAATTAGTAGCAGAATGCTGACAGAGCCTGGATCTCATGATTCCTAACAAGTGCTCAACCCATCTACAAACATCAAATGTCAAACAAATGTAAATAGTTATTAAATACCTACTAAAATACCAGGTAGTGTCTTTCCAGTACACCATGAGCATGTCTGACTTCACCAGAATTTTAGAACCCGGCAATGCAGTCTAAGGCATGTGAAATACATGACTCTTGCATCATTAGATTTGATCTGTACTCCAAGACCAATCACTCATTCTTAGAGAGAAGGAGACAAAACAGATTAAAATCAAGATTAATCAGAGGCTCTGGCTTAAGGGGGTTGCAGATGTAAGTAGGAAGGAGAAGGAGAGAGTGGGATAGAGAGAGAAAGAGAGAGAGACAGAAAAAGAAAGAAAATACAGAATGGGGAAGAGATTAAAATAATCAGGCCCCATTATCTTTTTCTTCTCTCTTCCAGTCAGCTCTGATGTCTTTTTGAAAGTAGGCATATCTTTTTAAGAAGGAGCAATCTGCAAGTGAGTTTGGAAGCAGCTCTCATGTTCGCCAAATGCAAACTGCGTTCTGAGAATACCAAATGCAGTTCCGAAGGTGAGTTTGCTGAGACAGAATGTGACTGTGTCCTGCTGGGGACACATAGTGCCCACGTGCCAGGGAAGCTCCTTCTTTCCATAACACATAGACATACTTTCACAGAACTTAAGGAGTAGGAGGTTTCTAAAGCCAAAATATACTTGAGAAGTTTGTTTCTCTAGTTGAACACTGCTGGATTTTTCCCTTGTTCAGTGTAGGAAATACCACTTCAAGTTTCTGCATAAAAAGAAATGTGCTGATGGCCTGGGAAGTCACTGTAAACTCAGCAGTGTTTCAATAACAATCATACAGAGACAGAGAAACACGCAGTCTTGCTTGGGGTTTAAAAGCCAACTCAATCGTTGACCAGATTCCTGCAATCCCCGCAGCAGACACATGAGTAAGGATTCTACTGGTCCACCTACCTCATGACCCTTGATTGATGTAGCCCAGCCTTCTTACAGGGTCAAAATGTCACACACATTTTAAAACAATTAAAGTAGTCATATCTTAAAATAGGAGAAACAGGAGCCCAGTTGAACATTCCCCTAGCAGCCATTTCTGTCATGAGGAAGATTGCAGCTTGACCTGCTGGTGAGGAGAATGGCTGCAGTGGGGTGTTTGGATTTCCTTCTATTTCCACTATGTCCCTGATCATTAAACTGGGGGATCTCCACAGAGTTAAAGGTTATTTTACACAGGAAGCACATTCAGTATTAGTACAACAAATGTTTTCCTTTCTCCAGCAATGGAAGAACTCTACTCACAGGGAGTCGTGATAAAGCAGAGCATCAGCCCTTTCCGCTCGGATACCAATAAGTCTTGCACTTCAAAATTGCTGGCCTAAAAAGGATACTTAAGAAGGAGCAGGTCTTTTTTTTTTTTTTCTTTTAAAGAAAGCAACAGCAGAAGCAGCAGTCTGATTTCCTTGTACACTTAGATGCATACAAAAAAGAAAAGTGAGTCACTCTGACCTTCTAACTTTAGTTTATAGAAACAAAGCAGTGAATCATGTTAACTTGTCAAAGAGGACCTACATATAGTCTTATCTAGATAACGTTCATATTAAAAGAATCTGAGAATCTATTTTTGTGGTAGAGTTATGGGATTGAAGCTACAACTGTCTACTCACTAACAATTTTGCAGGTCAGGATGTTGTCATAAAGAACCTTCCAATAGTGATATTGTAGGGCCATCTTATACTACAGCCTACCTTCATTCAGAATCAACCATTGTCAGGTCTAAGTTTCTTCACATCCAGTACTGAAAACAACTATGAAATTAACATTGGGAAAAGCATTGTAAACTCAGTCCTAATACTAATGTTAACTCACTTATTCAGTCAACTGAAAAGTAAAAAAAAAAAAAAAAAAAATGGATGAGGGGTACCTGGGTGGCTCTGTTGGTTAAATGTCTGACTTTGGCTCAGGTCATGATCTCAAAGTCCTGGGATTGAGCCCAGAGATTAAGCTCTGCACTCAGTGGGGAGTCTGTTTTCCCTCTCCCTCTTCCCCTCCTCCTCCCCCTGATTGTGTGTGCTTTCTCTCTCTCTCAAAGAAATAAGTAAAATCTTTTTTAAAAGATTTAAAGGTATATGTAAAATATATCAAACATATATAATCCAAACACTAGTCTTTCTGCAAATCAAAACAACTCTCTTAGATGCCTGAAATAGCAGAATTAGTCTACCCAAAATAATTAGTCCTATATCTCGAATCCTTCCTTATAAAACTAGTCCCCTATCAGTCTTTGAAACTTTTAAACTACTTTTATTATCTCTAATACATAGGAAGTACCTTTCCACCCTTTCTAATCAGTACATAATTACAAAATGTCAATCAACAGTCACAAGCAGTTATTGATAGCAGTATTATGAAATAATTTGTAAAATAGCAGTAACAGTCAAGGTGCCTCATTTCACCACTCTGCCCTACTGCCTCCCATGAAAATAAACTAAGCAAAACAGCAAATTTGCTGATTCAATGCATTCCAAAGCCATGATTTGGGTTGTACCTGGCGTTTGGAATATTTGGATTACTGTTCTCCTGACCACGAAAGATTTTGTTTTTGTTTTCTGTAAGATATCCTGAAGTCGTGATTTATCATTTATCATACACTGCAATTAAATCCAGTCCCACATGGAATTTTAAAGGATGACTAGTTGAATAAAACCCTTTAAAGCATGACTTCTGTCATGTCTCTATTTGTCAGGGTCACTCCTTGCTTTGTGATCTTCCTCCTCACAACTTGAGCCTAGATCGTCTACAGATGAGCCTTCTGCTAGGAACTTCCATATCATTCCATGAGACTATCACAGAAAGGACCTGAGTTCAAAAGAGAGGTAGTGTTAGACTCCCCTCAACTACTGCCTCACATCTACCAGGTTTCTTGTATCTGACTTAAGGTCTTGGATATATATCCTCACTTATCATAAGAGTTGTCACTTAATGCCAGGTCCTGTACTGAGCTCATTACATGTGCTCAATCCTCACAGCCTTTGAAGTTAAATACAACTACTACTTGCCATTTTGCAAATGAGCAAGTTTGGTCTCCACTGACTTGCCCAGATCCTGCAATCTGGGCAGATTCTGTAATCGGTTTGTTGAATTCTAGAGCTCAAGCTCTTAGCCATTTGGCTATGCTAACTGGGTAGGATATTCAGCAACAATTCCATAAAAACACAGAAATCATTATCTAGCCACGTGCAAAATAAGTATTTGTTAAGAGCTTTCATGAAAATTAGCAAACATATTTTGAAGCTGTTTGCAGGCAACATACACAAGATAAAGAACCACTGTTTCTCCTTGAACAACATTTTTGCAGGATTTGATAGGGTCCCTAAAATAATTGCAGATTGCAGGAGACCAGATACTACGCCATCCAATGGTGCTTTGGCTGGTTGCAATGATCCCATAAAGAAATGGACACCACCATTCAAACTCCGTCTTATAGACCACCACAAACTAAACTGAGAATGTATTCCCATCTTGTCTTATTCTGACATGTTAGCCAAGTTAAGTTAGACTTAACTAATCACCGACTTAAATCCCAAATCTGTAGTTCCTTAGAGAAAAAAGGCTTTCCTTCTTGAAAATCCCATTTCTTCCCTTCTTTATGAAAAGTAACACTGAAATGAGCTCAACATGAAAAGTGGATGAACTCAGAAGCACTTAGATTTGATGAGATAGCAGCCCATACAACTGGTTCCCACTCAGTGCTGCACTGATTATTTACTTCCCATACACAAATAAGGCAAGCCAAAGCTATTGTCTCTCTCTCCATAATTTTAAATATAGGAGAAATATGATTTAAGCAAACAAACTTTTAAATATGATTGAAAACATGCTCAAGAAAGCCACTGACATGGAGCACCTGGGTGACTCAGTCAGTTAGGAGTCTGCCTTGGGCTCAGGTCCTGATCCCAGGGTCCTGGAATAGAGCCCTGCATCCTCCTCCTCCCCTTCCTCCTCCTAGGAAATCTTCTTTTCCTTCTCCCTCTGCCCTGCCCTCCTGCTTGTGCTCTCCTTCCCGCTCTCTCTCAAATAACTAAATAAAATCTTAAAAAAAAAAAAAAAGAAAGCTATTGGCTTGATTCATGTGCTGTCTTCAATCAAATCTCAGCATTGAATTCTAAACGCAAAATAAATCCTTTTGGTGTCAATAGGTAAATTATCCAGCTCTGTGAATGTGAGGGGTAAGAAGCCTTTGTCTCAGTGGGGGTAGGGCATACAAGCTTCTCCTCGCCTTCCGTAGCCACCAGAATCCCTTAAAGTGAAAGTACTTGTTATTTGTCTTTAGCAAATAAAACAAACAATAATCCTTTGATTCTTAGGAAGCTCTTTCTTGTTAAGGTAACATTCGGTCTGACTTTTATGTTTCAGCATTCATTGTATACTTAATTATTTTAAAAAGTTTTGTTTTAAATCATTACACTTTTTCATAACTTAAGGTAAACATGGGCAGGCTTTGTTAAAGATTAAAAATAAATTTCACACAAACCTGCAAAATGTGACAAAGATAATACCACGTGGAGTCGGTATGTTCCAAAACACGATTCTCAGGGGGCCCCTCTAAACACAGTGCTTCATTAGAATTCTTGTTCTGAAAAGCTTCAGGAAGCCCCTGACTCCAACCCACCCTTTCCTGAAACTGGTGAAAGTATAAAAAAAAAAAAAAAATTACCACTGAAGTGAAAAAAAAAAAGCAGAATTTCAACACATCAGGGACACATGTTGGGTTGTTTTTTAAAGAAGATTTTATTTACTTATTTGAGAGAGAGAGCAAGTAAAAGGGAAAGCATGGGCAAGGGTAAGGGAGGAGAACAGAGGGAGAGGGAGAAGCAGACTTCCCACTGAGCAGGGAGCCAGACATGGGGCTCAATCCCAGGAGCCTAGGACTATGACCTGAGTCAGAGGCAGACACTTTACCTACTGAGACACCCGGGTGCTCCAGAGAGGCATGTTTTGTCTCTTTTTAGACTGTTAACCATGTTCAAAAATGCATTGATGCTAACTCTGTCATAGCCTTCAAATAGAGAACACACTGGTATAATAATTACAAAAAGAAATAGATTCATATTTCTCAATAGAAATGTTAGCAAATGACTGCTAGTAATTCAACTTGCAAATAGTTGTGGATCATATATTACTACATGGAAAATATCATCTCTCTTCAACCTATCGGATTTTGGTTGTAATCTTGTAAAAATGAGTGTTCCGTTTTGGAAATATCGAAAGAAACAGGTTTCCTTCTGTGTCTTATTTTTCAGGCTTATTCATCAGAATCTGTGAATGTTCACTTGCTCTTCCACTTTATCCTTTCTTTCTATTGTAATACATTTCTTCTTTCTGCCATTGGGAGAGCCGTCTCCCCTCTTGAATTTGGGACTGGGATGTCTGAAGTACTGATGAAGTTCTTAGAGGGCCTCCTGGGTAGCTCAGTGGGTTGAGCACCCCACTCTTGATTTCAGCTCAGGTCATGATCTCAGGGTTGTGGGATTGAGCCCAGTGGGGAGTCTGCTTGAGATTCTCTCTCCCCCTTGCCCCTTGCTCCTCCCCCTGCTCTCTCTTTCTCTCTCTCTCTCAATAAATAAATAAATCTTAAAAAAACAAAACAAAAAACCTAATGCAGTTCTTGGAATAGACAGTAGGTGGAGTTGAAAAGCCATGCCTCCCAGCCAGCCTTCATTTCTGGAAGTCCTAAGTCAAAGTGTACAAAGTCTGATGCACTGGGATGGGGAGAAGAGGCTGCTCAGGAGAGAGGAGGGCACAGTCTGGAACCAGAACATATGGCTGTCTCCTCCTGCCTCAGGTACCAACGTTTATGAATCGGACCCAGCTTCCTTACTCTTCAATGGAAAATGATTCTACCCCAATTTAGGAATTCTACCCCAGTTGAAGAAATTCAGTATTTTAGACTTAACTGACACTTTGCATAAGGATTATATGTACTCCATGCCAATGATATTACAACATCTAATGTGCCAGTGTTATTTGCTAAAAGTGAGCAAAGATGTACACATGTGAATTCAATAAACCATTAAAAGGGTTTTTTGTTTTGTTTTGTTTTGTTTTGTTTTTTAAGTTTACAATTATAAGTGTCCCTTTACAGATTCTATCCTAGCCTCGGGTTCCCGGAAGGAAATCTTTTCCATAGGGAATAATGAAATAGATTTTCTAGGGTTTCTCGAAGAGAACAGTTAGGAAATGGACTGCCCAAAGATGTAAAAATGGAACTGTAACTATGGTACTTAGCTCAGAATGGAATGTGATGGGCCATCGGGAAGGAATGCTATTTGTGCTCCCTGGAATGGAGTGGGATTTATTAGTTACTTTTTCCCAGGACCAAAAATTGACAATTGG